GTGCTCTGTGAACACAAATTAATTAGCATAAATCAGTTAAGTGACGGAAAATTAGGTGTCTATTTACTTGTGATCACTCAGTGTATACATAATAGTTGATATGAATTTTTACTTGTAAACTGATATTTGTCCTTTACTACCCTTCTGATATTCGGTGCAGACTGTTCAATATTTATTTTGCTACCGATAGTTGATAACGTGATCTTGAATTAAGTTTTCCTGCACTCACTTTGAAGTGCAATTGTCACAAGTACGCGTTCCTACAGAAAATTGGGAATTTAAACAATGTAATTAGAAGACATCTTAGGGCGCTCGACTCGCAATCTGAGGGTCGCGGGTTCGAATCCCCGTCTCACCAAACATGCTCGCCTTTCAACCGTGGGGGCGTTATAACGTGACAGTCAATCCCACTATTCATTGGTAAAAGAGTAGCACAAGAGTTGGCGGTGGGTGGTGATGACTAGCCTTCCATCTAGTCTTACACTGCTAAATTAGGGACGGCTAGCGCAGATAGCCCTCGTGTAGCTTTGCGCGAAATTCAAAACAAAACAAAACAAACAGAAGACATCTAGAAATATAAGAAACCAGCCTAATGCAATTACTAGTAAAATAACAAACATTTATTTCTATAGTTCTGGAATCAAATTAATTCTCGTATTTGTTTTAGAGTCAGAATTTCTAATAGGCAGCTTTTGCCGTGTATCTTGAGAGGCAGATTGCCGCTGTGGAAAAGAAACCGAAAGGTTATCAGCCCCATAAACAAAATAAGGCAGATGCAGACTGTTGTAAATTCCAACCCTATATTGTCTATTATGCTGACCAAATTGAATCCCAATGAAACTAGCACTGTCTCATCTTAACGTTTCAGTGGTATGACAATTAAACTGCTTTGTTACCTTCCCATAAAGCGGATATAAAAAGAAAAATTTGATTTAAATCCGGAATAGCAAAAAAAAAAAAAACAGTACCAAGAGTAATTCGAAACCACTACTATACATATCATCAGTTTTTTTTCTTTATTAATCCACAGGGGGTATAAACACAGACTTAGCTGACACATGGTAAACCTTTCAGTTTTCACCATTAATATAAAATGCTAATATAAATGACCAGGGGACGTAAGGCTGGACGACTTGAGCTCCAATCTTAACAAATCTGTATGTATAACTTGTGGCCAAATAAATATACAATTTTCTGACGAAATTAAAGAAGAGGATGATGTATTTTCCCAATTGCTGACTGAATTATTCATAGGTGTGTATGTACGTTAACAAGAAGGAATCCTTAATAGCCGCGGTATCTGAAATTCTTTTAGGCAGGATTACAGTAAAATAATCTGTGATCTTTCTTCTATTTTAGTAGTTATATTTTTGTACCCCAGAAATACGAAGCGTGGGGCGCCCGTATACCCGCTTCAAATTTCGTTACTCATCTGGATCTCTACCAGCCTACCCTCAAATTGAAATTCTTTAAGACAGGATTATAGTAAATTAATCTATGAGACATTGTGCGCGCCCAAAATAATTTCAGATCCACAATAATAAATCTAAAGTAAAAGTATTATGAATTTGGTTGTAATAATATATCAAAACTATCACGGGGAAAACATTATCTATGGCTCTTAAGGGTAAACTTGTTTTGTGAACATTCCTTTAGTGCACACCATATTTTACACCTCCTTCTGTTGCTGATTTCACAGTGGTGTGCTTTGCACCAGCACAGTACATTAACGGTAGAGGTAGATACCGTCGGAAACAGTTGTATATTTCAACACATGTAGGGTTATCTTACAGCTGTACATTTTCTCGTACGAGGCTGACTCACCAAAAAGACAGGCATGATTCTGTGTGAATTGAGGTATAACGTTTTTAACATATCCCACTGGTCCCCCGGCAAGAAAATATAACATATCTTATTATTTATTCAGCCAATGTTCTAGTTTTAAAAGTTTTTCTACTTCGTATGTTTTATTGCACTCAGTGGTTTATATTTATGCCACAAACTCAGGTATCTGTAAAATTCATGTGGATTGTTCATCAATATATATATATATATATTAATCTATGAGACCTTGGGCGTGATCATATACATCAATCGAAAGGATCCAACCTCCTGAGTCCAAGACTGTAATCAGATCTCAAATCAGTCAAGATATAACGGAGTTATGAGCTAAAAGTTTGTATTTGAAAAAAACAACAAAAAACTCAGAGCCATTGTACGAACCGTTATGTTGTACAAATACATTTTAAAGTCATCAAGGAGAAGTTGGACTAAAAATATGATGGAAAGATAACTGTATTACAACTACTTACTTTTGTAGATATAATGGCCCCCAACACTCCTTTTTCAAACTTAGAACCGCTGTCGAAGTTATGGATTATTTAATCCACTGATTTTTTCCATGGATTTGTGACTATCTACAATTTATTTCTAAAAAAAAAAAAAAGAAGAGAGAACTAAACGCTCAATCATGCATAAGTGTTTACCACGCGCAAGATGTCAGTACGATTTTTCTAAGAAGACACGTACGTGCACCTATCACATATCAGCGCATGCGCATAGATTAAAATGTCCAGCCGCGTGGAGTAAACATGCTGGTCAGGTATTTATGACGGTTAACATAGCAAATTCTTAGTGAAGTAAGTAGCCAAGCTGATTTGGTCTTATTTAGACACGTGGCCTTCACGAGCTTATAGACCAGTTGCATATATGTATAAGTATATTTACACTACTGTCATGCTGAGAAACACTGAATGCGTTTTACAGAATGGTAGAAATTGAGAGTATTTCATATTAGACATGTTAAAGGAAGAGATTAACTGTTTCGTATATTTATGCAAAGCTAAACAAGAGCTGGCTGTGGTACTATGCCTAATTTGGAAGTGATAGACTAGTACCCGCCGCCATCTCTTGGGCTATTCTAGCCGAGAAGCTGGATTTGACCGTCATTCAGAGCGATTTTTTCCCCCGTAATACGGATCTACAGATAAGTACCTAACCATTAAATTGCCCCAGCAGTCAGGGAAGCCATTTTATCCACTCTCCATAAAATTACCCCCAGCACTTATGGAAGAAGGGAACAAAGTTTATCCACGCTCCACAAAAAATTGTCACTTTAGAGATTTTTTGAAAAGGGCTGAAGATCCCTTGTTTAACGAATTTGTTTGTTTTGTTTTGTTTTTGAATATCGCGCAAAGCTACACGAGGGCTATCTGCGCTAGCCGTCCCTAATTTAGCAGTGTAAGATTAGAGGGAAGGCAGCTAGTCATCACCACCCACCGCCAACTCTTGGGCTACTCTTTTACCAACGAATAGTGGGATTGACTTATAACGCCCCCACGGCTGAAAGGGCGAGCATGTTTGGTGAGACGGGGATTCGAACCCTCGACCCGCAGATTGAGAGTCGAGTGCCCTAAGTAACGAATTTGATAGCTATTGTAAACAAGTTTGTTTCGATAAGATTTTCAATAGAAGCGCCTTAAATGGCTACTTTTACTGTCACATCTCCATTAAAAGTTTAAACTACATAGAAATAAATGGTATCTGTTTTATTATTTTTATATCTTTATTTTTATTTTATATTTCACAACTGATAATATCAAACATTTGTTTAAAATTTCGTGAAAGAAAGAACAAGTCAGATATTAACGGAGGATCCATTTTATCATTGCTAATACTGGTGATACGTATTTTCTCCCCCACCCTTACTCCGGAACAACACCTGATCTTAGAAAAGCCGCATACAGCACGTATATTTTTCGATTTATCTATTCACAGCCCGAGTACGATAACACGAGACCACGCTTGACTGATAATTTGAAATCAAAAACATATATATATATATATATATTAACATGTACTTTGTTTCAAAATTCTTTTTTCACTATTTGAAAATAGACGTCGGCAACTTCCGTTCATTGTTATACGCAAAGCTTTACAATAGACTAACTGCGCTGTATCCATCGCAAGGATCGAATCCTCAATTTGGTGTTATAAGCATGTGACATATGGACATATTTCGTGTTTCCCACCTTCTATAGTAATATAGAATTATTCAAAATTATTGATCATCTAGTTTCCTCACTGTCATGACGCCAACACATGGTCCATGGTGTATAATATTTTGTTGTTCTAGCCACTTTTTTAAATGATGTCTTCTGCCTGCAAGGATGTTTCAGTGTATTTTGAGCCTGGGTTAAAACTTGAATAACCTTCGCTAGCCAAACTAATGAAATCAACTTAAACTGATAGATAGCCAATGCTGTCAGGGAGAAAAGGTCACGAGGTGACGTTGTCCACTGGACAGAGAAAGCATTGCGATGTTTGAAATCCAGGTACACTTTGTTTGTTTGTTTCTTGTTTTTTGTTTGAATTTATGCACAAAGCTACTCAATGGGCTATCTGTGCTCTGCCCACCACGGGTATCGAAACCCGGTTTCTAGAGTTGTAAGTCCGCAGACATACCGCTATGCCACTGTGGGCACTTTCTTTGTTCCGTTCCGAAAGCTGGCGAACTATTAACTGATCCAGTAGAGACAATTTTCCACGTGTCTTGGCTGATACGCACACTAATTTTTTTTATGTTGCGTTTAAATAAATATTGTTTTTAATGCCATTTAAATGTATTCAGTTCGTATATTTTTCACGCAATTTAAAATTCAGTAAAGTTATCAACTACAGAAATGCCTTTATTTCTTGATCGACTCTGTTGTTATTTGCGGATTTGCCTGATCTGATACTTGTTGGGAAATCAGTTTTACCTAAAAAAACTACAAGCGCTCAAGCTTACACCTGAGGCCTTTTTTTTTCAATGTTGTGGAGTAGAAGGTTGTGGAATTCTATATTGGTCTAATCTCGGCTTTGTATAATTATCCACCTAAACTAAACAAATTTGAGTGTTTGTTTTTTGAATTTCGCGCAAAGCTATACGAGAGCTATCTGCGCTAGTCGTCCCTAATTTAGCAGTGTAAGACTAGAGGGAAGGCAGCTAGTCATCACCACCCACTGCCAAGTTTTGGGCTACTCTTTTACCAACGAATAGTGGGATTGACCGTTACATTATAACGCCCCCACGACTGAAAAGGCGAGCATGTTTGGTGTGACAAGCCTATGTAAGCTTATGTAACAAACCTATTCGAATTTCCTCAACATTTTCAAAGTTTGCTATAAATATTTAATAACTTTGAGTAGCTAGTTTTTCACTGATGTGGTACAAGGCCATTGAATTTATATTTTACTACTTTTTAACACCTCACGGCCAAAAATGAAAAGAGCACAGTTTTATTGTCTTATTTTTGAGAATAGATCGACAGCATTGAGTAAGAGAAAACTTATAATATGTTCTAGTTTGTCAATCTTCCAAGATCCATGACTTCATCTGTTGATATAGTTATTGGTAATCCCTTAAGGCTAAGTTCATATCACTATTGTTGTAACGTGTTCTATCGTTGGGCAGATTATTTTTTGGGTTACGAATTAAAAACAATGCGAAGTACATTCCATATAACGATAATGAATTACAAAATAGTTTGTTTCTTCTATGACGTTTGCTAGAGGCTATGTTCACTTTTACACAGGTTGCAGGTCTAAGTTCAGAAATAATCTTTTCACCATAAACTCTGAAACTACTGTAGACCTAATACACTAATAACGTTTAATAGAAGTTTCCTAGATTTATAACCAGCCTGAATGATTTATTGATTAGGTTAAAGAAGCACCAGCTCTTACTGAATAACTCTACTCGCTCAATCTTCTCAGCAATTACTCAATCTTCCAAACATGGAATAATTCACTCAATTCTCATTGATTATTTGTATTTATAACGAATATGCCCATGTCGAGACATTAGTTGAAGTTTCTCGATCTTAATGTCATGCGCCCTCTAGCTAACATCTATATATAAAACATTAAGAACATAATTTACAAAACTGTTACTTTTCAAGGTAGAGTACGTGTATAATAAAATGCTATACAAAACTAAAATTTAATTTAAACAAAGGGCTCCTAACGCATTTAATGGTCATCATAATTTGAATTGCAAGCTTTATTGTTATGCTTTATATTACTTCGTTAAGATTTATTTACAAACCCGCAATTTCGTCCCACTATGATATTTGGCGAATCTTAAGCTTGGTTGTCATACCCATTTGGATCTTGGATGACAATCATTATTATAGAATATACATGTCGTATGGAAATCATTCATAATAATTTATTGAGTATGAATGGATAAAAAGTTATTTTACAGTTTGCTTTAGAGCAAAGCCACATTGGGTTATTTACTGTGGCCCCGGCGGGGATCGAACATCGGATTTTAGCATTGTAAGTCCGTAAATTTACCGCTGTCCCACTGGGAGACTATTCTACAAACGCTTTTTTTTTCTTACCCTTCTAACATCAAAGTGATAGTTTCCTAACTTTAGCCTCGACTTTGCATTTTATTTTTTAAGAATGTAGACTATATGGAAATATTATCGGAAATATAAGGTTTCTGCTGTATGTTTTGTTTGTTCCATTTAGCGCATAGCCACACAATAGCTTATTTGCATTCCTTCCGCCAAGGGGAATATAACTCCGGATTTTAGTGTTGTAAGTCCGTAATCTTACCGATGACCCACTGGAGGACATTGTAAGTTTTAAACGATAGTTTCATGAATGACACTTGCTCACTTACTTGTCAGATTGCGTAACTGCTTCCTTGATGAAATGCGTTGATAAAGGGCAGTTAATATATATATATATATTATATTACAAAGTTGTGTGTAGTGCTTCTTCTAGGAACCTAACCTTTTCAAAAAATTAAACTTGTAATAACAACTATTGTGTCACATTTCACAAATTCCTATTTTTGTTCAATTCGGTAAAATTTCATTTATCTTTTAAATTTCCGTTTTTTTGTCTATTAGAGGTCTCTGTTTAAACTAATCCTTTTGTGTTACCACAGACTGGTAAATTGGAAGTCACATGATTTTCAGAATGCGCAAAGCGGCCGCCATTACTATGTGTTGAACTTTCAAAGTCCGACAGTCTAAGGGACAATGGCAAAGTGATCTCACCTCACAACTTATGGCCATTTTCCATCTACGTTTGACTTGTAGATAAAATTTGTGATTTTATTTTATAAATTTTTCAAGCCATTAATTTAAACCTGATTTCAACTTGCAAATTAGTGCAAAAATCGTTCACAAAACACAAATATCTGACCTGTTATATGAAGAATGCATTGGATTTAAGCTCAGAGAAAAATCTTATGATTAAAATCTGTTATTTTTCTTCAGTGTTTATTAGGTGTCACACAGAATTATACAACTCAAATATTGTTGCCAATGAACAAGAGGTAGCCGTCATGTCCTTTTCTTGGGGAGGGGAGGGGGAAGAATGTTATTTATGTATCTGCACCTCCAAACATCCAACTTTCTTAATTGAATGGATGGAAATAATTAAGAAACTTATGATATAAA